AAAGGTAATGCAGAGGAACTAAAAATAGTGGTGTAACTATTTAGGAGAAGAAGAAAGGACTAACATCCTTGTCTATTTTGATTGGAAGTCAACAAATTGTCTTAAATTTGATATATTAAGAAATAATGATCTATTATCTAGAGAAAAAAGGTAATTCCTGCACAACTAAACACAAAGAGTTTAAAGAGATGCTTGCTATAGTGAGAAGCTTGGAAAGACAGAAGATTGTTGCTCTTTATGTCCTATGTATTTGATTTTTTTTAACCACATGGAAGTAATACATACAAATTTTAAAGTTTTATTCTTATTCTTTTTTATTTAACAGTAAATAAAAACTTGGGTTACATTTTTCAAGTATTCTTTTCCTTTCATACACACCATTCTTGCTGCTTATATCTGGTTTAATCCTCTATCTGAGTCTAGTGTTTCCAGTTACCTGTAGTTAAGAGTCAGTATGCATTTCATTGACATAAGTTAAATGGAAAAACTGTCTAAATGCTGCTCTCCTTCCTGATTGATTTAAAGGCCATCAAAATTTATCCCACATTGTTAAGTAAATTGGAAAACTAAGGCCTATCTGAATGAATGATCAGTGATCTGTATATTTAAGTATCTTTAGACAAAAATGGCATATTTGGAGGTTTTGTCTTCACTATTTTTAATTGCTTTATTAAGGTATAACTTAAATGTAATAAATTAACAAAGTGTACAGTTAGTGAATGTTGGTAATTGTATACCGCCCTATAACCCTCACCCTGATCAACATACAGAGTTTTTTTCCCATCACCTTGAAAATTTTCCTTGTACTACTTGCCTTCAGTCTACAGCTCATGGCCCCCAGTCATTGGCAAATACCAGTCTGCTTTCTGTCACTTTTGTAATTTTGTCTTTCTTAGAATTTCATATAATTGAATCACAGAGCATAAAATCTTTTGTGTTTGACTTCTCTCACTCACTTTTCTTTGAGAATTATGTTGTATTGATATTTTTTGTTGTTGTTGAGTAGTTTTCCAGTGGTTATACCTTCCCTTTTTCTTATGTTTTTACCCTTACTCTACTATACAATATATATTATTTGTATTTTACAATATAATACATATACATATATATTTATAATATACAGTATTGAAGTGGTAAGAGCAGAAATCCTTGCTTCATTCTGGGTCTTAGGTAGAAAACATTGAGTATTTCCCTTTGAGTATTTATGTTACTTGTAGATTTTTTGTAGATGCCCATAATCAGGCTTAGGATCTTTCCTTATATTAGTAGTTTACTAAGGGCTTTTTATCATGAGCAGATGTTGAATTTTTTTTCTTTTTTGCAGCTGTTGAAATGTTTATGTCATTTTTCCTTTGTTTTCTTAATATGGTGAATTGTATTGATTGATTCCTGGGAGCTTGAATCAATCTTGAATTCTTAGAATCAAATCTCCTTGGTTATGATTATTATCCCTTTTATATATTGCTGGATGGGAGGTGTTCCCTTTTCCTTTATTTTGAAAAGATTCCAGGTAAGATTGTTATTTCTTCCTTAAGAATTCACCAATGGAGCAATCTAGACCTACAGGGTTTTTTAATTTTGTGTGTGTGTGTGTATGTGTGTGTGTGTGGTTGGTGAGGGACTGGGTGGGGGGAGGTTTGTAAATTTGTTGTATTAGATATAAAGGTATTCAAAATTTTCATCTTTTGGGGTCAGTTTTTGTCATTTGTATCTGTCAAGGAAATTTGTCCCATTCCTGTAGGTTATCAGATGTCATTGGCACAAACTTGTCCATAATATTGCCTTATTCTTTTCATTTCTGTAGCTTCTGTAGAGATACTCATCTCTTATTTTGACTTTGGTACTATATGTCTTTTCTTCTTTTCATCCTCAGTCTAGCCTCGAGGCTTATCAGTTTTACTGATCATTTCATTGAGTCAGCTTTCATGATTTTTCTGTTTTACTTTCTATTTCATTTGATTTCTGCTCTTTTTCTTATCTGCTACTTTAAGGTTTCTGATTTTTTAAGGTAGGAACTAAGATCATTAATTTTAGAGTTTTTTCACAACATAAGCATTTAAAGCTGTGAATTCTCCAAACAATGCTTTAGTTGCATCCTATACATTTTTTCAATTTTTTGATAGCTTGAATTTTCATCATTAGTCCATTCAGAATATTTTGAAATTTTCCTTCTGATTTCTTCGTTATTTATTTAGAAGTGTTTTGTTTCATTTACCAAATATTTGGGCTTTACCTGATTATCTTACTGTTCACTTCTAATTTAATTCCATTCAGAGAAGATATCTTGAATTTCAGTCATTACATTTAGTAACAATTGTTTTATAACATAGCACATCCTCATGAACTTACCATGTGCACTTCAAAAGAATGTGTATTCTGCCATGGTTGGCAGAACATTTATAATGTTCTATAAATGCCATTTAAGTCATGGCTGATAATGTTCAGGCCGTCTGTGGCTTTGCTTATTTTTTCTAGTTAGACTGGTTGCTGAGAGGTGGGTAGAGAGCAGGTTCTACCTCTAATGGCAGGTTCGAAAAATAATAATTGCAAAGGATACACATAATGAGGATAGGAGTAATTTTATGACTGTATTTTATTACCTGCCACAGGGTTCATTTTACATTCTCTGTGCTTTTGTATATATTAAACATTTTTAAATTTTTCATAATCTTATTATGAAACCAAAACCCCTCGGGTAATAATGTCATGTTTTAGGGAGAGCATCTTAGATTAGATGTTCCACCAGCCACAGGGAAAATATTTAGGATTTCTATTTATTTTTACCTCTTCATTTTAGAAGGTTCTGTTTTGGCATGCATTTTATAGTACATGGTACATCTAATAGTCATATATATAATTTTAAAATACAGATAATTGTGTATGGAGAATTATATAATGTAATGTATTTTTTACTATTGTTTAAAAATAGGTGGAGATGTGAGTTTGTTCCAAAACTTATGGTACCTTTTATATTTTATTTATATTTTTTGCTCTTACCACTTCAATAGTGTATATTATATATGTATATATATATATTATATTGTTAAATATAAATAAGGTGAAATAACTTACAGTAAATAAGAGTCTTATAAACCTTATATAAATTGTACATTAAAATGAAATTTTATAGGACACTCATTTTTAAATGCTTTGTTTTGTCAGGTTTTTAATTAATAGGTGTTCTTACACTGTTTAAACTAATCACTGTCAGAATTTAAAGTTTTAAGTTTCTGTTTTAGAGAAGGCTGAAACTATAATTCCAAAATTAGGCCAGCAGTGTGAGTTCAAAGGAAAACAAAACAAGCTTTTAACAAGAGGTGAAAGAAACAGTGTATTAAGTTCTGTTCCCTCTGTAAGTATGAAATTAATAGCAAATACTAATAGTAAAAATTGGGTGGAAAATGAAGTAATTTAGTATTTTTCCCTATTAATTACTCCTATTGAAAACCTCTTTTTCCATTCTGGAATGTCCACCTCAAGGATCAAGTGCTTTTGCTTATTTTTGAAATAAGCAAAACAAAGGAAATAATATGATTGGTAGACCAAAAATAGCTCAGTTCCCTTCTCATCCCCATCCCCCAACCTCTGTTACACTTTAGGAACAAAAATACAAAAAAAATTCCAAATTTAAGTGTTAGTTTTTCAAATTTGTAGGACTCAGACTCATACAGTGTAGCTTTCTTGCCCATTTGCTACCATTAGCTTTCTGATACAAGAAATGTTTACCTTTTAAATTTTAGCTTTGGCATTCTGTATATTAAGAATATATTTATGATCATGGATTTGAGGCAATGTATTCTTAAGAGCTTTTATTACCTGAACAACACTTTTAACATTATAAGGTGATTATTTACTGTAAGATAAGAGTTGGACAAATGTTTTTGGAGGTTTAAACCCAAATAATGTTCTTTGGAAAAATGTTTCTGTTTATAAAAATTTAGGTAATCAAAAACTTGACTAGACTACCTTTCCCATTTCTTAAACATGATTTCTTGAATTATGATTAAGATTTTTCCTTAATTTAAAAGCAACTTTACAAAATTGATTAACACCCATATTAACCGCTTCCAGTAAGAGCTCTTTTACCAGCCAGCATCATTAGGTAGAATTAAATTTCAAGTTTTTAAGTGGAGTTTGTTTATTAAAGCAATACTAGGAGTGATATATTTATCAAATGTTCTTTGTCAAAGTCCCTCATGAAAAACCTTGAAGAAGAACTAAGAAATGTGGGCTGAATGATAATATAATCAGAATGATGTGTAATTCATCTTAATAAACACATGTTGAATTCTTGCTAGAGGAATATACCATGCTATCCTTTTTTTTAAAATCAGTGATTTGAATAAGGATGAATAGCATGTATTGTTTTTTTAATTCACAGGTGACAAGAATCTGCAATACATACTCCTAGTAAATTAGATGCATTCCTCTAGAAAACAAAATGACCCTTATCAGTTAAAACAGGATATCTCATTAGTAACTCTTAATAAAACATAAAGGTGAACTTTTCCCTCTCCCTCAAAAAGAAAATTTAATGATGCACTATAAAATGGAGGTTCCAAAGCTTATCTAATAATATACAAGATTATTTATGTGATATCTCAGAAAAGCAAGATTCAGAATTATATTCACTGTGAGATCTCAATTTTGTGTTAAAAAATATATATATTAGAAAATACAAAACATTGACAGTAGTTCAGATAGTATCATTAGGAGTGGTTTTCTTTTCAGTTTCCCTTTCTGTTTTCAAACCTTCTGCAATGAGCATGGACGCTAGAAAGACACACAGCAGATGAGGAAGCACTTGATCCTCCTGATGGCCCAGACGTGCAGCCTGTGCATGTTGATCTGTTGTGTCACAATAATGATTTCCTCCTGCTCTATTTTTCTGTAATAGACACCATGGTACAAAAATCAGTGCTCCTCAGTGTTTTAATGTTTTCTCACTCCACTACTCTAAACCCACTGAATCTGTTTTCATTTTCTTCTCTTTATCAAAGGTTGAATTAATAAAGGGGAATTTACAAAGCGTTGGACTTACACTTCGCCTTGTCCAGTCAACTGACGGGTATGCTGGGCATGTCGTAATTGAGACTGTGGCTCCAAACTCGCCTGCTGCAATTGCAGACCTTCAACGGGGAGATCGACTGATTGCTATTGGAGGTAACTACACTGTTGTGCAGTATACTTCACGATTACTGAAAAACCAGAGAGTAGATGTGGGGGTTTTCCTCTCTTCCTTTTTCTTTATAAGACTTTACTTGAATCATAGAGAGAAATAACTTAACAGTAAATAAAAATCTGAAGGAAGCCTTAAAATTTTAAACATATATACCATTTTAATCCTAATTTATAGATCTTTAAAATGCTTCATCTCTAGTAGACCATTTTTCTATAACCTGATTTTCCTTTCCTTCTCACCTAGTCCTGTTTTTTTACTGAATGTGATAGAAAGGGCAAATCAACTGTTGCTTTTGTGTGTGACCATCAGCATTACTACTCTGAGCCTAAACCTGACAGTGTTAGCACTAGTGTCCCCATCTCTTAGGGTTAGATAATGAACAGAAGAGAGACTTAATAATCCTCGTTCAGTAACTCAACTATCCTGTGGCTCCATATTGTCCCTGATTGGCCAGCCATTTGTTAATATGTTGTCATTCAGAGTGCAGCCAAATGACTACGGCTAGCAGAAGAATGTGTCACCCACTTGGCTTCCTATCAATTGGATTGATAACAACAGAAACTCTGTTGAAGGCAGATTATTTGCTTGGATATTTCTGAATAAGCAGTAGGATTCACTGTGCACACCAACGAAGGAAATCTTTTCAGACCTTTGTAGTACCTGCCCACCCATTTTTGGCTTGTTAAGAGACTTCTTGAACATATGTTGGTCACAGTTGAGGTTTTAAAAGCAATATGGTTTTAAAAAACAGCTAAGACAGCAATGACATGATAGATGAGCTTATAAATCAAGGAGCAGTTATGCTTGGTTGCATATCAAAGAAACTCTGCCTTTGATTCACATCCATCATGAAAATAAAAATTATTTAGTTAAATACCTGGCAGCCTAACTCAGTCAGTATTTTCACATGGAAATCACATGGATCATGTCACATAAACAGTGCTTCTCAAACTTTCTGGTGTTTTCCAGTCACTCAGAATGTGGGTTCTAGTTCAGTAGACTAGAGGGGATCCCAAATTCTGTATTTCTGACAAGCTCCAAGATGCTACTGCTGGTCCATTGACACTTAGGATAGCAAGGCCGGAAAGAAGACCTCATCTATTCGATGGTTATTTTAATAGAAATGTAGCGGTTACTCTCCCTCAGCCAAAAACTACTATTTATTATAAGCTTTTATATCCACATATATCCTACATTAGTTTTACCTACACAACAGAATTGATTTTTTTCTTTTTCATGTTTTTTAAGGAAAGGTTACTGTTTTCAGTTACACAAGTAGTACATACCTACTATCAAAAATCAGTATAAATGTATGCAGAGTGAGAAAGCAGAAGTCATCCTTTCATATCTAAAAATTTTTTTAAATTGAGATAAGGGGTAGGTATAATACATTTTTATAGCTATAGTTCATTTATATGGTTATACATTAATTTTTTAAATATTTAGTAACGGGATTGGTGATAGCTGAGTTAAGATTGGCAAAATGTTTTCTATTTGGAACTCTCTGATGAGAGTTCATTTTACTGTTTCTTCTACTTTTGCATATATTTGAAGTATTCCAAAGAAAAGGGATCCAGATTTGGCCAGCCAGTCCTAAGAGACACACAGTGGCCATCTGCACAAAGTGCCTGGTGGTGGGGAAAAGATGACATGAGGTCAGGTGTTAGGTCACAAATAAGTCACAAAATTAAGTTTTTGACTATAGATCATTAGATGGACTTTTCATGTATGCATATGTCAAACTACAGTTTTACTGGGACATGAATGTGGTTAGAGGGAAACAGTAGAAGTTAAGTCTGGATGAATCATGAAAAGCCACATTAGGAAGTTCTGGATTTCAGCATGATGAGTTTGTAGGCTAAAGGTTTTTGAGCCGCAGCTTTAGGAAAACTGGGGAGCAGTATGTTTGGTGATTAAAATAGGCAAGGTCTGAGTGAGGGATCAGAGTAAAGAGCTATTTATTACTATAGTTGAAGCTGGTGATCAGGAGTATCCGAACAAGGGATGAAAATGAACTGTAACGCTGATGGAATTGACAGTGGAATATATCTAGGGAGTCGGGTATTTCCAGGATTCAAATTGGATTAACAGGGAGGGTGGCAAGTTGATTGGCATAGTGGTGAAGACAGGAGGATGAGAAAGCCAAAGAGCGGTTTTTACTGCACTGAGTTTGTAGTGTGGCACGTCTGGGTGGTCATGTGTGGAAGTTGTTGGGAATGTAGGACTACAGTGAAGAGGGGAGACCAACCCAGGAGAAAGTTCATAGGTGAAATTACTGAAGTGGTTGTCATCCAGGGAGAGAGCAAAAAGGCAGAGAAAACTAATGACAGAACCATGGGAACTTTTGCCTACAAGGGGCAGGTATAGGTGGACAAAAGAAAGCAGAGGAGAGAGGATCAGAACTAAATTAGCACAAAACCAAGGAAAAGGAAAATTTTAAAGGAGAAAGAGGGGAATGAAAATATGAGCAAATGTAACTGCTTGAACAGAGTCCTGAAGGAAATGGAAAATAGAGTCCAATACAAGTGAGAGGGCCTTCCTCCTGAGATCAGTTACTACCAGAAATGATTGGCAGGGAGAAAAGGTGGCTTGTTGATCTTTTCAGTAAACGAGGTGATACCATCTACAGGGTAAAAGAGTAGGAAGGGTGGGTATCCGGGGAATAGGAAAGGTTGGAGGCTGGTGTTGCAGAGACTCAGTTGTTTGTAGAGACCAGAGGAGCACTGCAGGAGCACTGACTCTTCGCTGGAGACGGATAGCCTAGCATGGGGCTAGAACCAGGTGGTGAGTTCAGGAGCAGAAGAGGGAGGTGGTGGGGCTAGCAAAGCTGGTGATCAAAGGCACGGTAGGTACAGTTGAAGAGGAAAGGGCAGGGGCAAAAGCATCAAAAATCTTCATGTGAACATCACTGAAATCTTGAGGCTAAGGTTGGGGAGAAAAGCAAGTGGTATCAGAGCAGCCAGACCATGAGAATAAATGAGGAATGACTGGACCTGGAAATCACCACCAAACAGATGTAGTTACCAGACAGGATTGGGAGAGGTGGAAAATAGGAGACCGTGGTCAGAGATTAATTTCAAGTGAAAGAATGTTGATGTGGAAAAGTTCCAAGTGATGACCAGGTCTAAAGCATAGCCTTGCTTGGGCAGCTAAAGTAGGAGAGGCTATAGGTTGGGGAGCTCTGGAGTCAGGTTATTAGATGGGGCTGATATTACTTTGATTTATTTAGGATGGCCCTAAGACCTTTGGAAAGCAAAGACCCCTTCTCACCTATCTCTAAGTCCTACAGAAAGGGATAGCTTGGGTAAGTACTATTTGGGGAGGGTGGGAAAAGGGCAGGAAACAAATAAAGCCTTTAAATGATACACCTACAGTATCTCTAGAAGAATACACCAGAAGCTGTAGCCTCGACTGCCTTAGGGAAGGGACAGTATGGCTGGGGGAGATAGAGGTGGAAGGGAGATTTTGCAGTGTACATCTTTCTGTAGTTCTGAACTATGATCAACATAGAAGTAGATAATAACTGACCAGTTTATGTCTTCCTTGTTCTTTCTGATCCTAAAAAGGATTAGGTTGATGGATAAGGCTAATAAAAAGAATCTGTACAAAGAATCTACTATTCAGAATATAGTATTTTGCTAACTTTACTTTAAGCATTAGTCTCTTGACTTGAATCCTTTACCACAAAGCTTTAAAAATTCCTTTGGTAGAATCACTTGCCCATCACCTTAAGTCTGGTTTAACCATTAATTCCTTTTCAGTAGATTTCTGCTCACTTCCTCAATTCAAACTGAGAAATAATGTCATTTAAACCTAGGAAGGAATGGGAAGCAATTAGGAGTTAGCAGCTTGACACCCTTCTCAGGACTTTGTGTCATCATTTGGTTTCTAGAAAAGGTAATTATTTTTAGGACATTAGCACACTCAGGGTTTGTGAATCAGTACACTGATGCATCCTAAAGCCAGTAATGTATTTTGGAGGTTTCCCTATTACTTTTCCATTAGTTAAATAATCATGAATTAATAGTAATTACATTTATCAAATTTATGTAATTTTTATTGTAGTGATTCACAAGCTTTCCCTTTTAAAATCCTAAACAGGTGTGAAAATCACATCTACGCTGCAAGTGTTGAGGCTTATCAAGCAGGCTGGTGGCCGGGTGCTGGTTTTTTATGAAAGGCCCGTTGGCCAGAGAAGTCAGGGTGCAGGGCTGCAAGATAACTTTGGACAGTTGGAGGAAAACTTTCTGTCCAGTTCCTGCCAACCAAATTATGAAGAGGAAACAGCTGGGTTGGCAGCAGATGCTGAAAATAGAGACCTGGATTCTGAATTTGAAGACTTGGCAAGTGATGTCAGAGTACAAAATGAGTTCAGAGATGAGGGCCAGGCATTAAGTCACAGCCCCAAGCGTACTCCAACGACACTTTCTCTTAAGCCTGTTGGAACTGTATCACCAGTTTTAAATCGTAAATTACTTGCAGGCAGTCACCCACCACCACCAAAACTTCCACCCAAAGAAGGAAATAAACCCTCAGTCCTAAAACCTTCTGATGCCACAGATCCAGCACCAGTGTCAAAACCCACCCAGGGATCCACTGTCAAACCACCCGTGCCACCACGGCCACAAGTCAAAGTTCCTCTGCCTTCTGCTGACGCCCCAAACCAGGCAGAACTAGATGTTCTCACTGAGAAGCCAGAAAAGGTGCTGCCTCTTCCTCCTGCAGATAAACCTGCTGAAAAGCAAGCGAAAAATATGGATCACCTGGAAGATGCAGCTGCATCTAAGCCATCTTTAGCAAAGCAAGAATTTGCAAAAGATTTTACTTCAGAAAGTTCCTGCCCTCCTAAGGACAGTTCGGATGACCCTCAGACATGGGAATCATCTGAAATTCCATATCGTAATAAGCTAGGAAAATGGACAAGAACCAAAGCAACCTGTGTCTTTGACATAGAAGCCTGCCACCAATACTTAAACATTGCACTGTGGTGCAGGGACCCTTTTAAGTTAGGGGGTCTCATCTGTTTGGGTCACGTCAGCCTAAAGCTGGAAGAGGTGGCTCTAGGATGCCTAGCCACATCAAATATGGAATACCTTTCAAAATTCAGACTGGAAGCCCCGTCACCTAAGGCTATGGTCACGAGAACCGCGCTGCGCAATCTGAGTATGCAAAAGGGATTCAATGACAAGTTTTGCTTCGGTGACATTACTGTTCACTTCAAATATTTGAAAGAAGGCGAACCAGACCACCATACAGTTACTAACTTAGAGAAAGAAAAAGAACTCCATTTGGTTGAAGAGGTGTCTGCCCTGCCTAAAGAGGAGCACTTTGTTGGACAGATGAGTCTAACAGAAAACAAACATAGTTTCCAGGATACTCAGTTCCAGAACCCAACTTGGTGTGATTACTGTAAGAAAAAAGTCTGGACTAAAGCTGCTTCCCAGTGTATGTTCTGTGCCTATGTTTGCCATAAAAAATGTCAGGAAAAGTGTCTAGCCGAGACTCCTCTTTGTGGAGCAGCTGACAGGCGGATAGACCAGAGCCTGAAAAACCTCAGGCTGGAAGGACAAGAAACTTTCTTAGGCCTGCCTCCTCGCGTTGATGCCGAAGCTAGCAAGTCAGCCAATAAAACAACAGGTTTGACGAGGCATATTATCAACACTAGCTCTCGATTGTTAAATTTGCGTCAAGTCTCTAAAACTCGTCTTTCTGAACCAGGAACTGATCTCGTAGAACCTTCACCAAAACACACGCCTAACACATCTGACAATGAAGGCAGTGACACAGAGGTCTGTGGCCCAAACAGTCCTTCTAAGCGGGGAAACAACGCAGGAATAAAGTTAGTGAGAAAAGAGGGTGGTCTGGATGACAGTGTGTTCATTGCAGTTAAGGAAATCGGTCGTGATCTGTATAGGGGTTTGCCTACAGAAGAAAGGATCCAGAAACTAGAGTTCATGCTGGATAAACTACAGAATGAAATTGATCAGGAGCTGGAACATAATAATTCCCTTGTGAGAGAAGAGAAAGAGACAACTGATACGAGGAAAAAATCACTTCTTTCTGCTGCTTTGGCTAAATCAGGTGAAAGACTACAAGCTCTAACCCTTCTTATGATCCATTACAGAGCAGGCATTGAAGATATTGAATCTTTAGAAAGTCTGTCTTTAGACCAGCACTCCAAAAAAATGAACAAGTACACAGATGATACAGAAGAAGACCTTGATAATGAAATAACCCAACTGATAGACTCTCAACCATTCAGCAGCATGTCAGATGACTTATTTGGCCCATCTGAGTCTGTGTAACAGCCTATTTAACTTACAAGTGATATGGGGAGAGTTGTACCTACAGTACCACAGATACAACCATGTTTAAGCCCTCTTAGAACGCACTTTGGCCTGCTTCTCCACAGTGATTTGCTTGTGTAAGGACAAGAATGAAAAAGGTGATTTTCCGGCAAAATCATGACCAGCTCACTGATTGGTTGTTTCTGATTGCATTGATAGCTATGCCTTTTGGGTTTATACTGGGAATTTATTTTTACTAATTTATTTTTAACTTTTTCTATTTATGTCATTAGGTAAGCTAACTTTTCGTGTTTATGTGTGATGTCTCATTGTGTTATTTTCCTTCCTTAGTTTGTGAATTAGTGTTAAATAAGATACTGCCCAGACTCCTCAAATAATTTCATTTCCATCATGGTTGTAACAACAGATTTGCTGCATGCCCAAAGTGACAAAAGCAAGCATCAAGGAAACAGGTTTTGAATCTTTGCGTGATAAAGTTGTGTCTACTTGCTTGATATTTTGTTATTTTGGGGTGTTTTTGTTTTGTTTTTGCCAAATGTAACTCACACAAACGCAATGCTGCAGCTCTAGACAGTTATGCTGGCTTAGTAGAAAAAAAAATACTGCCTGCTTCTGTGAAATTTCTTTCTAGTTTTGGTGCAGTTTTAATAAGAATCTAATGATTAATTTGAGGAGCTTATACTGAAAAACAAAATGGAATTAGAGAATGCAGTTTATCAAGAATTTCATAGAGGATAACTAGATTACTAAAAAGATGTAATCAGTAGAATTTTGAAATAGAATCTTTCAAAATGTTGATGTTTTCCTTTTAAATGGAAGTTCTGAACATTACAGTGATCATTCATCTTAGTTCTCCCAAAGGAAATAAAGCTTGTGCAAGGGTACAGTTCCAGAGGCCTGTTCTTAAAGTGCCCATGTTGATAACTGGTTTTGGCTTTTTTGAAAACATTTTCATGCAGGACATTGTTGTGAAGGAGAAGAACATGGCAAATGGATGTACTGCTTTGCCTGACATCCTGCAAGCTTAAAGGAGTGGTGATTGTTCTGAATCCTTCTGTATCTGACTATCTTCACTGGTTAAAAAAAAAATTTTTTTTGGTAGTATAGTACATAGGAATTGGGACCAGTTCTGTGAAAATGAAGATTTACTCTGATACTCAGTCCATCTTGTGGATCCCAGTAACACCTGACTGAGGGAAATTATGTAAGTGTGGCCTCTTTTAGTATACTGTGCAAGTTTTGGCCTTGTGGATGCCTATAAGATAGACGTGTATGTTTTTTCCTATTGTAGGTAACTGCTATGATAACTGATACATAGTAAAACTGACATGAATTTTAAACTAGTGGGAACAGCTTTCATGGCTGGCAGGAAAAGGCACAGTATAACAGTAAGGATTCTGGCCCAGGTCTGTAACCAGGATTCTACACAAGAGTGTTTTAATTCAAGCTCTTTCCCTGGCCATTAATGAACTGTGTAGCCATGGCCAAGCCACAGAAGGGCTTGTGTGCCATCGTCTCCCCTGCTCTGAAGTAGGAATAAACAATACCTATTCCTAACTACCTACCTACCTCACAGGACTGTGAGGAAAACAATACCGCAGCTGTGAAAGTCCTCGGAAAAGTAAAAAGCTATTCAACTAAATCAAAGGACTTAACTGGGTGATAACAGCATATTCTGAGGGTAGAAAAGTTAATAGCCAATTCTCATTCCTATTTTATTAAGTGAAATACTAGGAAACCAAATACCTTTCCTGACCAAGTTTATAACAAATATATATATGTATATATCCCCCTTTTTATTAGTTATTTAAGCATGCTTTGCATTTTAAAACAGACTGCTATAGAAGTCTTTATATACCAGATTCACTGAAAGCTAACATATTCTGTAACATACGCTTGAAACAGTTTGCCCTTTGTAATAACCAACTTTCATAACTTACCATTGATAACCTGGAAGGCGGAATGTCTGTAAGTGGCTGGTGTTATGGATTGTACCATGGACGTTTTAGTGACATCCAAGCGTGCTGCTGAAACTGATGCATTTGAAAGAGCTGTAGAAATAATGCAAAGCTTTGGTTTCATAAAAATCTACTCATGTTTTTAAAGTATTTAACTCTGTAGAACTACGATGATGGAAAACTCAGTAATGCTGCTAATAATATTTGTAAAATATACCTTCAATGTAGTGCAATATTTTTATATATACTGGGAGAGGCAGTAGAGGCGTCACAGTTGTGCTTTAGTGTGAGTGGGAAGCCCTCCAGTAGCCTAGGAGACTGAGGTACAGTGAGGCCTCAATGGAAACAGCTGTATTATATTACATTCCTGATGTAATCCTGCTGCCATGCTATGTTATCAATAGCTTTAAAATAAGATGAATAAATAAAAACTACCACAGAAAACAAGAATATCTTCATTTGATGACATCTGAAAAAGGTGTTTACTACATTTCATTGGGACTGTTACCTGGTATAGTTTGGCCATGCAAATAAGCGTAACAAAGTCCACTTTTGCTAGCAAAATCACTATTTTGAAAATTTTCTAAACATTAAATTTTGTTTTTACTGTTGTTTTAAGCTGTGAAATATAAGACTTATAGATTTGTGTCTATCGTCTATTAGCAGTTAGACTATATAGAGTGCTTTCTATATTGCTATTTAGGTAAATGGGCGGGTTAGACAAGCTGAGCAACATGTTATTGTTTTGGAATCAGAATGTGCTACATTTCTTAAAAATCAAGCCTGATTTCTTCAATATCAGAACTAGTTAGAACAGAACTAGTGCAAACTACTATGGGGACATTTTGTGATTTTGAGAGAAGAAAACATAAGCTAAAAATTTGAGGCTACTGTCAAGGTCTAAATTTAAATGTATCAATTTTTTTAAAAGACTGAACATACTTGGCTCTTACTAATAGTAAGGTAATAAAAATAGTAGTCTTAAGTTCCCTAAAAATGAATAAATTTAAAATCATTTTAATTTTAAGAAGTATTTCTAAATTCAGGTAATAGCTTTCCTCTAAAAAGGAGGCTGAGGGAGGTTCTCCTTTAAGGTCTGATTAACATGTGGGCTCTAATCCCTGAAAGATGACACTCATACACACCGTAAGTTTTTTGGAACTTCCAGGGGCCCTTCACTGTGTCAAAGGGCTGGATATTACAGTTTGTTTCATCAGACATAGTTATTTGTTCACAACAGTCAGGAAAATAATTTTGAAGATGCAAAAATAACTTACTGGTTTTTTCCACATTGACATGTGTCTAGTTACATATTGCAATTTAAAACAAATTTTGCAAAGCCATGAAGTACAGTTCAAACTGACCTGGAGTGGATTTTACCTGATGCCAGCAAGCAGAGAACAATATCTTTTAATATAATATTCACAGTCAAAACAGTACCTTCTGATGTATTTTACCCTAACAATGTCTGGTTTATAAAGGAATACAGACAGGCACAGTAATGTTCAGAATGTTTATTAACTAGCTAAAACATGACAGAGGCAGATACACTTAGCAGTCAGAAGGAATTAATACTCATTGCTACCTCATTCAATTTTTTTATCTGTTTTACCAGGTACAGACTTAAAACCCACCTCTGCTCAAGAAAATGAATGTTCAGAGAGCTGTATGTTATTTGCTCTAATACACACATTAAAGGAAAAAAGCCTATCTTTTCACAGTCTTACTAACCCCAGAGTGTTAGTCATAGAGGAGACCTTACAATTACTGATACCTTTTGCTCCCAAAACAGTTCTGAAAAACTTACATCATCTATGATGTTTTGTCTAGAGTTCAACAGCAGGCATGCCTTTGCCAGTCATTCCTGAAGACTGAAGCCTTAAAGGCAAAAATAGGAATAAATTATATGGGGGGTGCGGGGAAAGCCACAAACCCTCTTAAGAGAATGAGTTTGTAGCATGTTATTTTTTAAGGCTTTCCCCTGTGAAGGTAGAGAACAATCCCACCTTTTTACCTTAGCCATACAAGAGCACTCCAGAGCCACCTTTCAAAGTACTGGGCTTGGGCAAGTTGCCCAGTGCAAATAACTTGAGTAGGAAGCTTCTTGCTTCTAACACCCTGCACTTGAAATCCAGGGTGCAAATCATTCAAAGCCCCACAGAAAAGCGTCATAAGGCAAATAGAAAAGAAGTATTAGCTACTGCTAGAAAATAAGGAGGTGAGGAGTCCTTATTCTAAAGTTCTTTGCTCCTTGTCCAAGTTAACAGAAACACAATTTTGCTGAAGAACTGACATGAGATACTTTTTGTTTATGATTACAGATCACAAGTAGTATTTCAGACATTCTGCACTATCTTCACACTCCATATCTCATACAAAGCTTGATAAAAACCGACAAAGTTCACTAACACAGTATTTGCTGTTAAATTAAAAGGCACATCAATATTGTCATGATGGGAAAAACTACATTGCACAGCAAGAGACAGAGTAGCAGAAGTTTTTAGGTATTTGGTTTTTTTCCTGCCTCAAAGGGGTGTGTCCTGACCACCCTGTTATTTTCACCTGTTATTCCTAACATGATTCAAGACAATTTTGTTCCTTCATCTTTTAAAATGTGTTTTCACATTGATGTGAACTTTTAACAGAGGTCTATGAAATAATAGTTTCAGACGACTCAAAACAGATACCTAAAAAATCACTCGGATGCCCTCCAGACAGGTCAAAGATAACAAGTCTGATTTTTTACTTCATAAGAGCTCTTCACCTCTTAAATTTCATTTCTAAAACTCAAACTAGATGTTGATATATCTTATGCTTAAACCTTGACAAGTATAAGGTACATCTATCCCCAGTTTCTTTCTTCCAGTAAGACAAGTATATATTTCATAGGCAAAGCTAGTTGTTCATAACCATACGTTTGGGTGCTTTTCTCTGCTTTCAGAACATTTACTGTTTTTTCACTTACTGGCTTTACTGCTTGCTGCCAACCACAGGACAGGTAAACATAATTTTTAACCATCTGTTTCCAGGTAGGTGGACATGAAGATGACATAGAAAACTAATGCTAGCTAAGATTTACAGATAAATTCAAAAGAGTGACTCAAGTCCTTGTCCTCTGCATTTGAAATAACTAGCTTTTAAATCATAAATATATTGATAATAATTACAAGTTAAATAACAGTGTCACTACAAAATATATGCTGTCTAATTTGATTCTGTTTTTCAGACTTCCTTCTAGTTTTTCTCATGGTTGGAAGTGCCTTGGATATAACGTGTGCTTTAGTTTTAAACACTCATTACCAATCTTCAGAAAAAATACAAGACTCTTTTGCCCAAGTGTTCATGAATGTAAGTTTAAAAATTATATTTCATTTGGATTCAAATATTTATAGATTTACACTATATCTATTTCTTCAAAATATATTGTATAATTAATAAAACCAAATACATAAAATAAAGTTTTAAACACTATTTATACAAAACCCCTAGAAAAGCTGCTTTTTCTTTATAAGGCTATTGGCAATCGATCATAACCTTGGAAAAGAAATGATAACCTTTGGTCGTTTTACTTTTTCACCAGGGATGGATGGTATGACTAAGTTCAGGAGGAGTCATTTCACTAGAAACACCTTTATACAATTAAATACTTAAGTGACTTTTGAGGGTCTCAGTCACTTTCAGATTCTTCATCATCATCAATCGGATATGACTGGATGTTACTCTGAGTGTACATTTTTGTTTTAACGGGGCAGTTGTGATCCATGAGAATAGCCTAAAAAAGAACAAAGTACAGATATATTAACTTGTTTCATAAAGATAAATGGTTTTAGCCTGCCATTTTTAATGATTACTTGTTTACCATAGTACCAACCACTATTAACCAGTCATCTGGTGCAACTGCCAGGGTGCGTGCGTGCGTGCGTGCGTGTGTGTGTGTGTGTGTGTGTGTGTGTTTAGAATCTTGGAGTCAGGCTCGGGGATCCTGGAGGTCACCCAGTCCAACTTCTATTCATAGACTTCATTGTGGCAACAGCCTTAATAAGGATGTTCTCTGTTTAATGAGACAAGCCCTCTTGTTAGAAATATACTTGAGGCTGTACCGTCTACATTATTTCTGTTGTGGATCCAGCTCTGATTCCTGCTGTCCTCACAGACTGACTGCCCTTATAATGGTTTAAAACCATTACCATGGCCCCTTAGATTTCCAGAGTAAATACCACAAGGCCCTTTATCTTTTCATAAATGACATTTTCAGAGCACCTTTCCTCAAATCCTGGCTATATTCTTGCTGAAATGTATTTTAAAAAAACATTCTATGAACATAAAAATCTTGTCCCCTGCCTTATTAAAACTGAAAATTTTTAAAGCCAATTGACCCTCAGTTGATAAGCACTCAGAATCATTATTCATCCTGAAAGTATGCAGACCAAGCACACAGCCTGATAATACGACTGCCAGGATCATGCAAAGCATTTTCAGTGCCATACCTCAGCTTCCCAACAGCCCCGGGTGGTAGGCTGATAACCCTCTGTATAGGCTCAGAGGGTGCACAACAGCTGGAATGGGGCAGATGTGAGGCCAGGCAGCCTTATGCCAAAGTCAGCTCCTGGAGTGCCACGGGGTAGGCAGAGGAGCACAGAGGGCATGGATTCTCTCATCCAGTATGTCCTTTGGAGTTTTCCTCCATGTAAACTATGCCCCCAATAACTTTGTGCGATTTGAAACTAAATGGCAACATTTGTCTGGATTAAAGTTTATCTTATGTTGGCCCATTGCAACCTATCTTGTGTCTGTCAGCTATTCCTCCCAGTCCTTGTCCCACAGATTTGATAAGCTTCTATGACCCACTCAGTGCTTAAACCCATTTATCATTTTCTAAGAAATTCTAAAATGATCTGCCTGTGTGACATGTTAAGATAAGGACTTCCTTGACCTAAGGCTGCCAGCTCAAATTGTCAATGGCATTTTTAACTCCATTTTGTATTATGCTTCTTGCCAAGTGAATTGATGCACATATATAAGAAAGAGCACAGTTTCTAAAAAGTAACTGAAGCAATAGACATGGTACACCAGGACCATTCTCCCATGTGGGTATGTCCTTGTTGCACAGAAGCTTAACCCCAGAGAGCTCAACATCTCTTCTCCCTAGATTAATGATCCTCAAAGAAACATGCCCCAGAATCATAACCTGGAGGGGGTACAGGTGAAAGGTGGACTTCCAGGTCCTTACCCTTACCTGACAGTGGTATCAGTGTGCTACAAGAAACTGCCCGAGTTACATGGCATCAGCTAGGATTACAAGAGTCACAACTGGCGACAGCTTCCTGGACACCTACCGGGCGTGTGTGTCAGTGCCCTAGGGTCCTGTACAAGCAACTTCGTTACCTTACTGCTGAGGACTGACAGGCACCACAGGGTCACAGGAGGAATGCTCACTATGGGCTAAGTGCTCAGGGAAAGCTGTATGGAAGAGACGGGGTTGAGATGAACCTTGGATGATGGAAGGATTTGCAAAGCAAGGGAGCTGGGAAAGAGCACAACATGGATTATTTTACCAAGTGGGACAGTAAGAAAGGCAGGACACTAAGCAAGCCAGCCTGGCCACCACAGAGATCCAAGGATGAGGCACAATGAGACTAACTGGAAAGACCAACTCATAGGCCAGACTGCAAGGTCGTGAACGCCAGCTAAGAGGCCGTGACCCTCGGCCCACGGGCAGCAAGGTGGGGAGGGTGGCCTCAACTCCTCGTTCACAACTGCCGTCTGTCTCAGTTCACCCGACTCTGCCTACATGCAGATGTAACCACCACCCTGAACCAGACCCTGGACATGGAATGTGGACTCGAAAAAGTGCAGTCAGGCCGATTGTCTGACATCATAGTTTCTCTTGGAATATTGTTTTGCTGCTTTTAAAACCTAGCTTACTAGCTTCTGACTCCCCTTTAAAAGATTTACTTTTTACAATTGTTTTACTTTTGTAAAAAGTTACACGTGATTAAGCCGGATGGCACGGTAATATTCCAAACATGTCAAGAAAAGAGACATGAATAGCACCAAGTGGGTACATCTGGTGCATGGGGACACACAGAGGGGCCTGGAGAGCAGCCAGCAGCAGCCCGTGCACTGCAGAGAGGGAACTTTGTTCAACTCTCCACTGAAAAGGAGATAAAGAGGGGGCTGCTGTCTGAATTCAGAGCAAGGCCCAGTTACTGGGCATTGAACCCCAGCCCCTGCCAAGTGCCTGCTCTCACTTCAGATAGAGTTAGGATCTCCCAAGAAGTGAAAACACGTCAGACCAAAAGAAATGTAAAAGTAATGCAAATACAAATCTGGGATATTCAAACAGCAAAAGCACTTAAAGGTAAGAGCTCCAGTCTTTGAGACTTTGAAAGATACCAGGCCTGCAAGCTAGAGAAGTTTTAACACACCTTTAAAATAGTGATGGTTTTGCACATTCACAACATAAATGCCTTGCAAAGGGACACGTTTCCATTAATATATTAGAATATGCAGAGCATAATTAGTCTCCTTAGCTTGAGGCCCTGGGATCCTTGCCCGACCCACGACATCCAGAAACACAGTAGCTGAAAGCACTCTACAGAGCAACTACCAGAGCTAGGAGTCACCCAGGAAAAGCAAGCTGCAGTCCTAAGCCATTTACTTGCCTGTCGGCAACAACCGGAAACTCTTTTAAGAGTGAGGTCTAAGAAATGTGCCCTATTCTTAAAATCAGTTCTTCAACCTAAAAAAAAACATCCACACCATAACACAACTATGCTCAACAGGGTATTTTGAGAATTATGGGCTGCATATAATTATAATGAACACAGTTTTTCTCAAGTGACAGTGTCGCTATTTCCTATACTTGCAACGAAAACAAGTAACAAACAGGTTTTTTCTCTACCTGAATCGTAACACTAATTATGAAAGAAACAGAAATGTAGTATACCAGATGAAAGAAGAGTTCAAGTACTCACAAGTTTATGACTCTAGGATTTGGGATCTGTAAGAACAGCATTGGATTTTTCGGTATAAAATAGGCTAAATCCGAACACCTCGGTATCAGAATGCTGCCTGCTGAGAGGCTAATTTGCTAAGGTTTGTAGGCCTTATTCCGGCTCCCAGGCCCCACTGCATTTGGTCCCTGTTACTCTTGGATGCCGGCACTTGTCTGGACGGGGCTTTTCAAACGAGCAGCATGGCACACTACTGTCCTGCCCCTATCATCGTGAACGATCCGTTGCCCCAGTTCCTTCCTGCCCTGCCTGTGGTAAGGAGGCAGCAGCTGCCGGCCGCCACCCACACACCACCGCTCTGCCAGTCAAATGGCATCCAGCGTGATGCCTGCGATTATGGGCAGCAAGGTGCACAATTTCTCAAGTTTTAAATGATTCATCTTGCTAGGCACTTAAGTATTTTGGCATTTTATAGTGAAAGTGGCTTTCGGGAAGCTTGTAATTCTTACTGCTTTGCCTCTCAGGATCATCTCTTCCACTTCCTTTGGCATTTTTCTTTTTAAATGAATTAAAGCATTGGTTTGAATGGGGAAAGAGGGACTGAGGTCTATACATTCGACCAGGCCTTTTGGGGATTGCATTGCCAGCCAGCCATGCTCATTCCCGCTCATCCTCCGACCTCGCCCCGTTCCTCTGGCACCACAGATAAGCCATCGTGCTGCTGCCAACAGACGGGTACACGAGCCGCTACCGCCTGCCGCGGGAAGCCTGGCCAGCAGATCTCGGGGCTGAGTGGCAAAGGGAGTGCTTGCCTCACAGAAAGAAGAAAGGGAGGGCACTGGGGGACCACGGGCCTGACAGAGCAAGTCAGAGGGTTAGTAAAATCAAGAAAGAAGAGCGGGTGGTATTGGAAATAGTAACAACTGGGAATTTCCTGTGCGCCAGCCGGCCGCAGGGCTTAGCACTGTGGGGATCCCTTTAATCTTCACAAACACCCAGTGAGGCAAATGCAGTCATTTCCCCCAGTGCCAGGTCAGCTCTCAGAGGCCGACGCTAGCTCCTCTATCTCCCCAGGGTCCTAAACAGTCTCCTGGGGAACAGAAGCATTTGGAGGGGTGTTTGTTTTGGAGAAGGTTTTTTGGTCAACAAGGGTTGGAAATAGCCTTCATTCAGCCTTAATCAAATTGACATGCTGCTAACAGGTTGCCAGTTTCCAGCTGCTGCACTGAGAATTTTCTGACCCTGATTTGGTGAAGGTACTGCTCTGGGGTCAGCCAAACAACAATGGACAGGGAATTTACACACCAGGCTGGGAATAGCTAAAGCCCCTACCAGGCACCACGACAAAGTCCTATGGCTGCTCAAGGCTGGAGGGTGTCCAAGCAAGAGAAAGGAAGGAAGCGGTGGCTTCCGTCA